TATACAGCTGTTTAAAAGTAGTGAATCGTGATGTGTGAGTGTGATCTTTTCGTCCTCGTTTGTGCGTGGAGCAGAGCTGGCATACAAGAGATTATATAATCGTGAAATGGTGCATCGAGGCCAGATCCTACATTGTGAATAGAAATGGCAAGGGCAAGTCGTCTGGAAAGGGGTGTTGCCGCCGAATTAAGTTTGACCAGTTTACGTGTGATTTACAGGAACTTGCTCCGGATCCCTGCCAGCATTGTTTTTTGAAGTTTGCTGTGTCACTCCACACCCCTGGCAACACAGACCTCTCAGTCAGAAAGAGCAAAGGAACACAGGCTGGCACGTACATGGACCGGGTACATGGACCGGGATCATCCGTGCATCTTCCCGTCGCTCCGGTCCACTTCACGCGCCAGGAGATCCAAGGTGGCAGAAAAGCCAGCTCCTGTGGGTGCGGGACCGCGGTGGGTCATGAGATGTCGGGTCATAGGGTTGAAGAAGATGAGGGCCAGGTCAGCAGGGCCAAGAGATGTGAACACTTTGATAGATGCACTGTGTCATTTCTACTTGGGATACTGAAAGCTATATACAGTATACTCTAACACTCTGAATCAGCTAAGGGGGGGGCTGCTGGGAGCTTGAGGGCACGCCAGTAGGCATCTATGTAATTCTCTTGAAGATTTACATTTGATTTGTTTTCTTTTTTCTGTCGCGGAAACAAGCATTTGTTCACGTTCCTGACTCGACCCTACTGGGTAGACAGGTGAACTACCTGCTTTGGTGAGGGTTTAGGGGCCAGGCTGGACTGGTTTAATGGCAAAGCTCCTCATCCTTCGCAGCAAAAGGGCAACCAACATGTTCACAGACTCCTCAGATCTCTCCTCCAAACCGCGAATTTCGGACCTTTGCCCCGCGCTTTGCTGAGCAGTTTGTATCCACTAGTAGTAACAAGGTTTGCTAGTAGTAACAAGTGCCACGCTAGTAGTAACAAGTGCCTTACTAGTAGTAACAAGAAGCTACTAGTAACAAGTGCCACGCTAGTAGTAACAAGTGCCTTACTAGTAGTAACAAGAAGCTACTAGTAACAAGTGCCACGCTAGTAGTAACAAGTGCCTGACTAGTAGTAACAAGAAGCTACTAGTCTTATAAGTGTCATCCAGAGTCTTTTGGATTTCCCAGACTCACGTGGGCTGTCCACTTGTGAACCTCACCTTCCCGATTCCATCCTTCCATCCTTCCATACCTATGGCCCGAGGTCTTATGGCCATGCCGCAGGCTGTGCCGCAGGCTGTGCCGCAGGCGATGCAGGCGAGGCCACCTACAAGACATCATCAGAATCAAGCCTATTTAATATACGCTGTCTCTTGCATAGCAACATAGTGCAAGAAGTGCCCCCCATTTGTCCCATTCATTTCACTTCATTTCTACTGCAAGTAAGTAGTCTGTCATTCCTGCAACGTCACTGGCGACCGACTACTCGGGTCGCCCGACTCGGGGCCCCCACCTCCGTGCGTTCCCCGACCTCGCGTTTTGGGAGGCCCACTCCCATGGACAGATGGACATGTGGCCAAAGCTATCAGTGAACTAGGGATGGCCAGCTTGTTGGTATGGCCAGTGCTGGTTTTTTAAAGGAAAGTGCTGAGATATTCAGATGAGACAAATGATGGAGCACGGTTTTGGGATCTTTCGGATAAGATTTCCAGAATCAGCTTTGCTGCAGCAAGCAAGTGCGCATTTGGAAGGTGAACGAAGAGCAAGAAGTGGAGCCCCACTCCAATGCCGATGTCTAAAGTCTATCAAGTGGTGCAGCGTGTTCTTACCTTGAGGGCCATGTAGCCTTCCAGCAAAGGTAAGTCTGATTTTGCCCATCTTGAGAAAGCGCACAAAAGAAGGGTCCCTTGGTGTCTTTTGGAGCGTGCCTCTCGGAAGGTGGCGCTTGGAACCAGCACTCGCAACCAAAAAAAGCACAGCAACTGTCAACAGTCCAAAGGATCAGTTGCTCCTGTAGGCGTTCGTCTTGTGTGTTGGGAGACAGATCAATCATGACAAGAATCAGAATTGATTCACACACGTCCTTTGCGAACATCTTTTGAGCTCAACAAGGGTGGTGCACTTGTCCCTGGGTCACGTAGAGGATCGACTAGCGCAATCCCCAAAGGGTGGACCGTTTAAATGGACCCCTTCTTCTCTAAAGACACCTTTGGGTTTGTGCTAGTCGCCTCTCTGAAACCACCGTTTGTCAAGTTCAATCACTTACGTAATACAGTAGTCCTTGTACCATCTCGTACCTTTCTGATTCGAAAGGAACATGTCAGGATATTTTGGGGTGACTTCATAGGACTGGAGAATGCACTGGGTCAAGATGAAGACTGCGAAGATCAACTGCGAAGATGGAACCCGAATCGACTGCAAATCTGTCTCCCGGCACTAGCACTGACTCTCTTTTTCCGCCTGCAGCGGTCATGAAGAATCAGCGATGGTGCTCAGATTTGATGAATTGTCAATACATGTCAATACTACTAGGAGTGTCATGGAGTGTCGAATGCTACATGCATATTTCCTGAAAGTCTGGTGGCTCTTCGAGTATTTTGTTTTGGCTCTCAGATTTACTTCTTTGACATCCGTACTATCAGTAATTACTTGTGCAAGCCACGGTGTGCACCCGAAAGATGAGATGTCAGATGTCAGTTTGATGCTTCACACCGTTGATGATCATGACTTGGCACGAGGAAAATCTGGTGCTTCACAGACCTGGGCAAGTCGCGTTCTTCGGGTGGGCGAAGTGTTTTGACACTCGCAGAACGACTGCTTCGGAGCGAAAGGGAGGGCGTCTTCAGCTTCGGGTCAGAAGCTCTGCCTGGAGAACTGTTTTCAGTAGATTGCACGTAGGCCGCGATGGGGAGAGATGCTGAGACGTTTTGCACAGGGCTTTTTGAGAGGTTTTTCGCAACGCAGGTAGACCTCAAAGTCGAAGTTAAGGTGTCTCAAACAAAGCACACCTGCCAGTTGTAGACGCATGTAGATTCAATACTCAGCATTGAGCAACAAGTGGAATGCTTTCGTGGCCTGCATTTGTCGTTTCCAGCTTGGATTGATGCTTGTCCGCAAGCGCTCACCTGTTTGCGATCTCGTCAATGGCATGATTGAACTTCGCTAAGTATTTCTTAATCTCAACTGGAATCGGAATGGTAGTAACAAGATCATGTTTGCAGTTGGCAACATCAGCGAAGTCATGCAAACGGGCTAAATCCTCATCATCCTAGGTCCTAGGCCTTCCAGTGCTGCGAACCGTACGAGAACGGGATGCATTCGGAGCACATGAGCACATGCTTACTGAGCAGAACAGCCCATGCTGCGTTTGGGGTTCTGCATCAGACCCTGGTTTGCATCTGTTTGCATGTCGCATCCCGAGCAGCACTGGTAGAAAGTGAGCATAGGGAGGAACCGAAGTGCCAAAGGCGCTACAGCTGTGAACAAAAAAGTAAAAGCAAGGCGAAACCGTGCCAGAACAGAAGCTCAAATCAAATAAATAGTGTTTTTTTTTTTTTTTTTATAATGGAGACATACATCTAGTGGGTGTGTTTAGCATTTATGGTGAACCCCCACCAGTTGCGTGGAGAACCACATAGCTTTCATTGCGTACCTCTCGGCAGCCTGTGGTCGACATGGGGACACTCAATCTGAGATTCTGAAGAGCAATGGTTTTTGCTGTGGCTCAACTGCCAAGTCCCGGACAACCTTTGCCTGGACTCTCTACGTATTAGGGACTTCTACTGTATACATGTACTATTTTTCTGTGAACTTGAAGCTAAGCCTGCCCACCCATTGTGGAACACTTTGACTTGGAATAGGAAGCTGCAACGAACTACTGCACTTTACTCAAATCAATCGCAATGAATCCCGACAGGGCAAGGACTTATTGGCTCAGACAAGACACAGCCCCTCTTCATTACAACCAATGCTGTGGACATTGATGTGCTACATGCCAGGCTTCCAGCAGTTCAACAGACCGAAGAAATACAATATTTGAGAAAAGCATACCTTCCACAGGTCTCCATGTCAACGTCACCTGAAAACACTCATCACTAGTTGCTCAAACAGACGTATCTCCAACCCTTTGGACGGACCAGGGAGGACCTTCGCGCCGAGAACCCGCTGCTGGGCGGAAAGGAGGTTGTGGGCGGTCTGCAGGCTTGAGCTGAGCTGCTAAGACTCAAAGATGGTGAGTGCTAGAATGTAGAAGGCACGTAGTGCAACTAGGCCGTAACACGGATCAGATTGATCAGTTTGGTTGTTACTGTACCAGTGATGAGAATGACTCTTGCAACTAGGCAAATGGGCCGTGACATGCCGTTTGAAGTCCCAAGAGATGAATCCATGGAATTGTTTGTTCGAGCGGCTTCAGCCGTTCAGGATGCCCAAGAGCTACGAGCTGAAATTAAGAGAGGCGGAAGAAAGGAGGCGGAAGCCAAACAAGCAGCAGCAGGTGGGCAGCAGCACGTGCTGCCAGAGACAGATGTCCCTTAGTGTCACTATTGACAGAAGGAGCTGATGACTGAGCTGATAGGTATTGAGACATTTTGATGTCAAGACTTGTCCCGCCTGGGGTATTCTTCGTATTTGGATGTCTTAAGGTTTTGCTTTCATCTTTGTCCAAAAATGATGCTCTTTTGCAACTTCGACCTCTAAGACCTGTTTGGTCCAGGAAGAGATCTACAAGGCCATCGAGGGCAAGTCGCAGAAGTGCCTTGAGCGCAGATCACAGTATAGTCAGTTCCTGTTTGCGGGACTGGAACGCCAAGGAGTTGTTCCAGAAGGGTCCAGGTGACGTAGCCTCACTTGGATCAAGCTTCTCAAGAGTTGGCCGAACTTCTTTGCTCCAAGATCCCAGCACAACAACATCTCTTTTGATTTAGGTTGCTGGCTTTGAGCATGGTGAATTTTGTTGGAATATGTGGAGTCTTTTTTGTGTGCTTCTTTTGCCCGACATTTATTCATCACCACTAAGGATTATGTTGGGTTTCGACCATCCCGAATCACTGCAGTTTGAGATGCAGCTCACCTGGGTGGAAGACACCTGGACCGTCGCCTGGCTGCCGACCAATGGGGGCGAAGGAGGATCCCTGGAGATGCTTCCTTCCTCTCTTACGGTCGAGAAGGTATGGGAAGGTCGTTGTCCAAAGGTCAATGTTCAGGTTCCATGTTGATCTTTTTCGGTGTAACTCCACCATTTCGTTCTCAAGGAATGGTCATCACAGCAGGTCTTGAGCATGGTTGGACATGGTTGTCATCACTGGTGAAGGCTGCAAAGGACCCAAAAACAAGTTTCATAAGTGCAGTGCTGGTAGATGTTGATCAGAGCAGCTGAGCAAAAGATGTTCTTTTGGATTTATGGGTTGAAGAGATCAGAAGGAACATGACCCTATCTGCCAGTATCACATGACCAATTATGATTAATGATTTCTGCTGACTCCATTGCAACGCTGCAGAGATGATTTGCCCAGTATTTCAACTGGCTTGACCTCCACAATGTGCCGGTCATACCTGCCTTAGGATACTTTAGTGGATACCTTTTAGATCCTTTGAGATCCTTTTAGATAGATCAATGACTCTTCAGGTCATCCGCCCGCATTCTCCCCTCCAGGTCCAAGTGTGAGCTTCAGTGAAGGTCTTTCCCATCCACCAGGATGCCAACGGGAATGCATCACCTCATCTAGGGAAGAATGGATATCAACTACACACGCACCATCACACACGAAACATCACCCAACATCCACCCCACCTCCGCCAACCAACCGACTCATCCACGCCCTCTCCGCTTTTCTCCGAGATCGACCAGTTGCACGACCACCTCCTGTCGGAGGTTCGCCGCATCGATGCTGAGTACAGGCACCGACGCGGAGGGAGCGCGCGGAGCGGTCCACAGTGACCGGTGACCGACGGGTGCGGTCCCTTTGCGCGATGCGACACGATTGACCAATCCAACTAGGTTTGTTCTTCGATCCAACCAGAGTGCTTCATTGCATGAAGTGTATCTCGGTGTCAACAAGTTTCCGCAAGCTATACAGTACTTTGTGGCCGACTTTCGCAATGCAGTTTTCTGTCACAGACCGGACAGTATGTTTAATTCATCTTATTTCCAGTAAAACTGTTTGGTCGAAAGTCAAAGTCACTTGCTGGTCGTTTTGTGGGCCACGAAGTGTTCTGAAACCAGCTACTAAGCCGCTACTGCGACCTGAAAAAAAACTGAAAGCACTAGTGAGGCAGACTGAGATTCGAACATTGGGTGTCGATTCTGTGGGCCTGTGGCGCGCGGACCCTTTTGTTGGCGCCTGGGAGGCGGAAGCCTTTGCAGGGCAACTATTCGCAGAAGTATGTGTGGTTCGATCGGCCTCTTGGAGACTGATCAGTTGTTGCTGTGCGAGTTGTAGGGTGATGAGTGACAGCACCATGGCTCACCCGCCCTTGGCCCACGGCCCACGGCCCCCTGGCTTCGTGGCTTTCTCCGCTGCGGCAGGTTTCTTTTGAGACCTCGGGTGCAGGGCAGAGAGCTGACGCTACAAGATTATGGGATTGATTCCTGGCGGAAGCGAGAGAGGTGTTTGTTGTTGTTTTTCCCGTATGAGGCTCGTTTCAGATTTCAGAGACCAACCGAACAGAGAGGGACGAAAAACAGTGAAAAATCATTGCACAGAGATGCCACCATTTTGCTTGGCCACTATTTTCTGCTTGGGGCCTCTACAAAGCAAATACCATGTAGTTGGGAGCACGGGTCTTATAGAATTGTATAAAATTATACAATACATGTTTCTTGTGGAAACGGGACTAGGCAGTCGAGACCGTTTGACTTCACGCGAGTACTGAAAAACCATGTTATTGTGAGGCCAACGCAATCCACTGATGGTATTCATTAGCGTGAGAGGGAATCATTTATCGTTTAAACATGGCCGGGTCCGAACTTCCAACAGATCCCTGGCCAGTCCCAGCTATGCTTCAAACTGTGAATGAACATGCAAGAAGATCATCGTTCAGCAAATCAAGAAGCACATACCTGACAGACAGACCGACAAAAGCAAGCATCCCAGCAAGCAAATAGACGACTTACCAAGCAAGAACAAAAAGCACCCAAACTGCCAGCAACAGAGCGTTGCTGCAAGGCCGCAACCCAGTTTCAAAGAAAGCAAGCTATGAAGCAAGATCACAAAGATCAGCGAGGGACCAACCAATGTGACTGTGGTTGCCCAGGGAATTGGTTTGAAGATCGTTTTCACAGCTTTCACCACCGACCCCTTTTCGCTGAGGAGCCAGGCTTTCGGGTGAAGATCAGCCCGTACCGCCGGCAAAGATAAGTTGTTGGTTTTTCTTGATTTGTTTTTTTTAGTTTTATTTTTGTGTTATGTTGTGTTCCTTTGTAGCCGAACACCGCAAAATGTTCACTGTTTGAACTTTGCCTTGGCACACATGATGAGCCGAATCTAAGTGCAGTCGGCGTGTGTGTGTGTGTGTTCCTGCACAGTTTACTGTAAACTTGGCAGCCAGGTTCTACCAATCTGAAATGGTTTGGGGACAGCCATGGCCCTTCGACTTCCGCCACTGGTCCGCCATGTGGGTGTTCGACGTCTCACATCGACGGTGGAAACCGAAAGCAAAGCGGTCGAAAGTCGGCCGAGGGTTTCTACAGTGGTGAAGCACCTGCAGCACCAGACGTTTTACACCAGCAGTTAGGATGTGTGCGGTTCTTTTTTTCAAGTTCTTTTTTTCCATGCCTTTGGACCCTGACCTTTGAAACGTCAAGTGAATGTGGGGCCCAGTGGGGGGCCAAGCAACCTGCCTCTGGGCTAAGGCAAAGAGCGTCCAAAGGATCAGGTGCTCCCTGCAGAGGACAGAAGCCTTCCACGTCGGTGCAGTCAGCTGTTGAACAACATGTCGTGCAAGGATCAAAACACGCGATGATGACCTTGGGGACACAGCCATGAGTCGTCCGAATCATCAAAAACATGTGAGTGGCGATACCCACCCTTGAAGGCGATACCCTCATCAGGATATCCAACAATGACGTGTTTGTACATGCTATGGTATACATTCACCTTCATTCTCATGTGATTTTAGCCCTTTTTTGGTGTATCCTTGGGCCCACTTCCCTACCCAAGAACCGATACCTAGCTTGTATCGATCGAGATCCTACTAACTACTCCTACTACTCCTACTCCTACTCCTACTCCTACTCCTACTCCTACTCCTACTACTACTACTACTACTACTACTCCCGCTACTATCACCAAACGGCGATCAAAAAAGTTGCTGGCTCTGTGTGTGGCGATACCACCCTTGAAGTCGATACCCGTGACCATACCACAGACATAATGAGTTTTGAGGGTCACACATTTGGTAAACACACCACCCTTCAATGTCCATCAATGTCCTCATTACACTGTCCTAGGCCCTAGGCCACCCGACACGGCTAAGCTGAAACCATGCTTGCACAAAACATCAATTTGCTGCGACCTTCAGAAGCTTGCCTCGCGCTTGGTGTGCCCAATATGTTCTATTATGTTCTATTTTAATCTCTCCTCACTCCTCCTCTCGAGCATACAAACATGATTTGAGCCAGGATCCAGATTTGTTACTTCGCTTAGACAAAGGTGGCGCTGGTCTTTCGAAACTTGGCTCCTATTCAAACAGAAACATTTTTGTTCACCTCGTTTTTTGTGTTCATCCAGCCATGCTTGCATGTAGTTTCTCCATGAGCCAAGCATTGAACACTTGTCAGGCTGTGAGTTGGCAGTCCCTGCTTGACAGGAACTACCTGCCTACAGGCCGACAAACACAATTGCTGTATAGGTGTATAAACTTGTCTAAACATGTGTCCCAAAATCTGAATGCTCCGTATCGATCGAGTGATCGTCAAAACTCTGTTTGCTGGACGCAATCCTGGTTACCTGGTTTCACCATCTTGCATTAGAGTTGGTACGAGCACCTCGAACCCTTTCACCGTGATAGTCCGTATTTTCTCAACATGTTGCAAGGGGGAGCACAGGAGGCTCTTCTTCCTACACTGCTTGGGTTGGTTCTCCCAAACATCGTTTTTGTCCGTCAAGGACTCGCGTGATCTTCTTCCCATGGCTCGGCGGAAGCAGTTCTGCGCACCTCGGCAGGGTCAACGGCTTTCTTATGACTTCTGGCGTCCAGAGGTTGCAGTGGCGTCATGTTAACTGAGGTCACACAGCCTTTTTGGATGGCACGTTCTGTTTTCTTTTTTTAAAAGTTGTTCGTGGATCGCCAGCTGCTGGATCCTTGACGTACAAGCTGATGTCTCATGTTGCGGATTGGAAAGGATTGCGTTCAACTGCCATGGGTGGGTTCTCATGCAAGGGCAATTGTAGAACTGGGGCTGCTTGTCCATTCAGTTTCCATGTTCTGCCACCGCCTGGTGGCGTTTCCCGGACAAGCTGATTTAGACCGGGCACGTCCAGGTACATTCCGGTCGTGCAGAAGATGCCCAAGGACCCGTGGAAGATTTCGTGTGTTTTTGTGTGTTCCGCAGACTCGAAGCTGCAAAGGAATCATTGACAGCACCTGCAGATACCTGCAGTATGTTTGTAATAGTTCAGCTTTAACTAGAAACAAAGGGCATCGCTACTAGGAGCAAGGACGCTACTAGGGGCTCCTGGCCTTACTACTAGGAACAAGAAGCTACTAGGAACAAAAGGGCATTCTTAGATGTTCTTAGCTGCGATGCCTTGGCTGCTCCCGTTTGATTTGCAGAAACTGATGCTGACAGAACTACTTAGGGTCGGGTTGGAATATTTCTTGGAGTAGTGCTGTGTACCCCCAGGACACACCGGTGCTTGATTGACACGAACCATGTTGAATCTGCTTCACTGGCACCTGAAAGCGCCTGCAAGGGTGGAACAAGTGGCACATGCCCAGACGTCTGAGACTCCTCAGGATGTTGCTTGCTATGCACTGGACATGCCTGGACGGGGACAGCGAGAGGATGCCGATGGCTACCCGAAGCTTGGATGACCGGTGACAGGTGGCAGCCGGTGGCGGCATGGCCCGAGGGGTCCGAAGTGAGAACAGACCTCGCCAGCGACAGCGCCAGGAGATTTGGGGATGTTTTGGGGTGTGTTTTGGGGTGAGTTGGTGGACTGCATGCACCACTCATTTTGACTTCTGCACGCACTGACTGCACTGCACTCCACTCTGCTCCACACTCAATTTGTCCTTCATGCACTGACCACTGGTACTCGTACTGCACTCGCTGCATGCACAAAATGATTGCAGTGCAGCGAGTGGAGTCCAGTACCTGCAGTGAGTGCAGTTAGAGGCGATCCAGCTTCCAATATTTGGTGAACAGAGGTGAAGGGCTAGGCATGGCTAGGTAGGTAGCAGAAACCTCCAAAATGACCCGGTGAGGCGTCCAGGAAGGTCAGGCACTTGTGGAACCGCCATGCCATTCAAAGCACCATCCACGGTCACCTACTACGGTGAACCGTTCGGCCCATCTGGATGGCCACTTGCTGCATGTGATTTGGTGGATGTGCCCCCAAACAAGGAACTGCATCTGCACATGGATTCCAAACTAACTAATTAAATTACATTGTTTCTTTCAACAATAGCCTTGAGATAGTCCTTGAGATGCTTCAGCAACTCTGGAGAATTTCAACTCGTGTGCCCTGGGTCCTGTGCTGTTTGCAAACGAACCCGCCACTGCAAAGCCTCGTTTAGGAGCGGCCTCTTTGCCGTCAAAGTCATCGCCATGACTTTGGCCAAGGTGGGAGATGCCGCGTGAGGCAAACATCGGTGGGAGAATTCCATTCCGGCAATCCCAAACGCTCCGTGACCCTCATTTCTCTCTCACGTGTGCAACATCTTTCCCATCCGTGACGCTTTATTTTCTTTTTGGAAAGAGGACTCACCTCATGACGTGTGGATGTGTGGACTCCGTGGCCTTGAAAGCGTTCGAAGAGGTCAATCAATGTGTATCACCCAACTGGGTTCCACAAGGGATTTTGACATGACTGTTTAACCCAGAAGGGAACAGATTGCATCAGATTGGATGTTTATCACTTCCAGGTTCCAAAAGATTGGGGTCAGGACATGTCAGGACATTGGTTTCTTTCGGCCTCTTGTGCGACTCATGTTGTTTTGAGCACCTTAAGACCTTCTTTGTCAGGCAAAGAAAACTCTGTAGAATCCATCCCTCCACCTCAAAAGGACCAGTTTTACGAGGTCCTGCTGTAAACGACCCAGTTAAAACGAGGCCTTGAAAATAGAGCCCAGTAAAACGAGGCCTTTGATTTGGAGGGCATGGCTTTGAGGAGGTTCGGCCAAGGTGAAGCCATCCGGTCCCAGCTGCGCCCAGGAGCTGCGCCGTGGCTCGAACTACGTCTTTGCCCACTCGCAGGGATCCCATTTCGCCTACTACGTGGTGAAGCTCTTGCGAAGCAATTACAATGTGGACGTGAAGGCGGCCGAAGGGCCGAAGAGATCGGCGGTGTGGAAATTTCAGTGGTATGAAGTGATTGGTTCTGTTGGTTGGACGGGTGTGGAGAATCCTGACAAACAGCGTCGGTCCGAACCTGCTGGGACCGAAGATCGGACGTCCTTCCGACGGAAGGTCGTCCACCCCCCCCCCCGAAGGTCGCCCACGAAGCAATCGCTCCGAATCGTTGTGAGACAAGGCCCTCTTCGTGAGCAACTTTGCAGTGCCCAGCTCGATGGCTCCCTTGGAGCTCGACACGTTGAAGAAGAGGTGAAACCGGGAGAGAAAGGGCACTGATCGGATTTTTCGGAGGGTTTGCTGCTTCTGAGAAAAGGATGCTTTTAGGGTCCGGACATGTTTGAAGTGTTCGTGGTCCGGAGTCGCGAAGAGAGCACACAAGAGCTTGAAGACTCTGGAGTAAACGAGGAGTGCAGCAGGAAGAGCACATGTTGTCAGTCTCTGGAGCAGAAGCTGTAGTGCCATACTTGTATATAGTTCATAGATAATAGGGATTGGAGTCATTGGAGCATGCCATATCGTGTCGACACGTACCAGTCAAGCTTCTTGCTAGATGTCGAGCAGTCGAGAACACAGTCCCATGATCTCTGTTCTCGACATGCTGCTTCCATCTCCTTCCACCCAAAGTACATGACCAAACTTCCCTTCAGCAACAGAAGGATTGATCGCTTTGGATACTTCGGAATCGTCGTTTAGGCATGTAATTCCTGCAAAAAGAACCGATCCTTTCGATTCACAAGTTGACCAAAGTTAAGTGGAGTTGAGGTGGTGACCGAAGTGAACTTCAGCGCCTCTGCGTCTTGCCGTCCGACCGCACGGCCCCCGTGACAGACCTCTGAGGCAGGCGCTGTGCGTGCCGCTGAGGATCTTCACCCATCTGGTCAAGGCGGAAATCGTCCTCGTCACAGGGGGGACCTCGGCCGCTGATCCGGGGCAGACGGAGAAGTGCTGTGTTTTGCGAGACACGACCAACACACATTGACAACAAGCTTTCATTTGCGACGGGATCCTCAAACTGGTGGCAGAGTGGCATATTTCCGTACAGGGATGAGTGGCACAAGAATCAGTTACGCAAAAAGAATCAAAAAGAACATTAACGGAGGTTGCAGCCGTTGGTGGGCTTGCACACATGAAAAAAAGCATCACTGCCGTGCAGCTGCAGGGAGGCTGGGGCTGTGACCCCAAGCTTGCCTATAAGAGCCACATGGGTCTCTTGGCAAAAAGGTAGATCTCTGTTAGAAGGAGGGAGGCCGTCGCGTCGCTTCTTTGGTGTATGGCCACTCGGTGCTCCAGGGCATACGGTGTATGGCCACTGGGTGGCGTACGATTCTCAGCCCATTCTCATGTGGTTCAAGGCCTTCGAAGCACTTGAAGTCCGTTATCTATACATCAGCGCATGCGCATACGACCCGATCCGGTCCAATGTTCGCACAGTCTTCCTGTTGATGTTCTACGATGCTTGACATGTTGGACTGTGGGGTGCCCGGTTTCAGATGGGTTACCACATGTTACCACAATCCACATGATGCAACGTTTTGGTCTCGGACGTTTTGCCGCATTTGCTGTTCCGCTCCTTTTGTTCCCTGTCTCAGGATACCAGGCATATCAGAGCCAAGAGCTTTGGCCAGTGGCGCGGTCACTCATTATTGACCACTGGATTACCAAGGAGCCAACTGCGATTGAAGCCTGGGCGTGGAAATCAGGAAAGTGGGCAGCTTCATAGGAGTGATATCAAGTTGAGAGCAGTTTATCGTGGTGAAAGATCCTGGTGGTGGATTGGGCTCTTGTGTTCCAGGTCTTGACAGTCTTGGGTGTGAAAGGTTTGAGCCAGAGGATACAAAATGTTTGGAGCATTTGTTTCAGTGGTGAGATCTGTGATCACAGCTTGGTTCAAGAGAACGAGACCCTTTATCTCAATATTTCTCAATGTAATTCCTCAGTCTTTCTGGCGCCATGGAAGCTGGTGAAGTTGCCAGCAACTTCCAGAAATGGTGTCATGAACAGGGCTGTCAGATGGAAAAGATCAAAGTGACAAAGACATGCCGTGGCTTTGGCTTGGAGACCACAGCTGCACTGAAGGCAGGTGAAGTCGCCTTGTCCATTCCACTTGATCTATGTCTGACGCTGGCAGCATCCGCTCGATCTCGGATTGGGCAACACCTTTTGGCCAGCGACACAGTCCGCGGGCAGCGCATCAGTGCCCAGGCTTTGATGTATGTAGTGATGATTGATGGATGGCACGATCCTTCCAGCAAATGGCACGCCTATTTGCGTCAAATCCCTTCAAGACATGGCGATCCCCTTTGGTGGACCATGCCGCAGCGCGAAGAGAGACTTGCTGGAACCCAACTGCTTTATGAAGTTCAAAGACATGAACGCCAGCTCGAAGCGGTCTATGCTTCACTTTTCCCTGCCCTATCACAGGAGCAGCCGGAGATCTTCCCGAAAGAACGTTTCACTTGGAAGGCCTTCTGCTGGGCACGCTCCTCCCTCTCTTCTCGTTGCTTCGCACTAGAGCACTTGGAGAAGTTCATGAGCCAATCAGAACAAAAGGAGCATCAAGCATCTGCTGAACTTAATTCACAGCTTGAACCAAACGAGGCACGAATTGTGGAATGTGTGCAACCAAATTTGTATTTGTCCCCGCATGAACAGGAGAGACTTGCGCTTGACTTTCCCGGAGTCCTGTGTCCCCTTCTAGATACTGCAAATCATGATCCATCAGTTCTTGTCGATGTTGGACTTTGCAATTCAAAGGGTGAGTTGCACTTGGGTGTGTCCCAAAGAAGCGCAGTTGATGCTGGGCAAGAGTATTTTATCAACTACGGCAACCACCGCAGCAATCTCCAGTTGTTGCTTGGGCATGGCTTTTGTGTGCCAGAGAACCCTCAAGACACGCTACCACTGAAGCTGGGGCAACAACCGACTGTGCATGAATCCAAGATTAGACAGGAGGCGCACAAGATGGCTGGCTTGGATCTCGATCAAGTCTTTGAGCTGTCAGTGAAAACACCAATGCCAGAGCCGCTGTTGGCCACCATCCGCTTAGTGGTACTACCCATCAACAAGATCTACAAGATGATGCAGTCGGGAGATCTGCGGGAACAGCTGTTGCGTCCGATTGAGTGCCAGCTGGATCCTCATGCTGAGGTCGAAACCTTTTGTGTTTTGAGACGAGAGTTGCTGAAGAAACAGCGAGCGTTGCCGGCCAACACCAGCAGCTGGCAGGGGTCACTTCCCAGCTGTCCGGGCTTTGATGATTGGTGCGAGTACTACGCATCCTTGTACCGCGTTGGTCAACAAGACATTATTCGAGCTGCCTTGTGTGATGCTTTTGTTCGAGAGCAAGCCGCCATGGATAAACGCGAGGCGTATATTCTGCAAGAGGAGGAAGAGGAAGAGGAGCAGGTGGACGACGATGAGGTGCTTGAAGACAAAGAGCTTCCAGCCAAGAAGCCAAGAGCTTCATGAAACAGCTCCTTATGCAGGTTTTTCCGGGAGAAAAGGCCGGGAAAGCCGAGGAATGAGCAAGGACAGCGTTTTGCTGCCAAAACTCGCCAATTCTTGTGGGGACAGCACGTAAATGCAAGTATACAACTACCCCCCCCAGTGGCATGCTTTCGTGAGGTTGAGGGGTCTCCCAACGTGGCATCCTCACTGTGGATTTCAGATCGTAATGATCCACTTTAGTCGATGACATGGGACACATGACATCACAGATATGTAGTTGTAAGGTACATAGTGAATCACTGATGTACCGTTTTGACACTAGGGTGATGCCAGGACTTCCCCCTGCCCCGTGCAGACGAGCCTCTGCATTGTCCCATAGGCCGCTGTCCAGCGGCATTTGAGAGCGCGTAGTGCGTGGGGAGGAGGTGGGAGGAGATCGGTTTGCAAGGTGCGACCAGACAAAGTTGAGATAGGAAACGCACGCAGATAGGGTGGTGGTACTTGAGATGACAAACAATCATCGCCGCGTGAGCGAGAAGTCTTTGTTTCGTCCTCGTTTCTTTTCAACTGAACACCGGTGGAACACTACAGAATACTCAAACCGTTCGTGGCTGAATGATTCCTGCAGGCCATTAGAAGTTCATTTTTGACAAAGATGTGCTGCTGTCATGATACTCTCTTCGTGTTTGTTTTAAGGTTTAAACACATAAGTAGAGCATCCCGTTCCATTGCTGATGTTCGATTTCGTCAGAGCTTTGATGGGAGTCCAAAAGCTAGCAACTACTCCGGCTCACCCTATGCAATCCGCAAGATCCAAAGGGGATTCCATGGGATTCCATGCTTTCAAAGGACCAAATCTAGCATTTAGCTTATAGGTCTATCGTCTGAGGCGGGACGACGGGGGAGAGAGGCGGGCCCCGACTCGGATGCCGATCTCGGACGCCGCGCCCGTGTGCCCTTGTGCAGTTGCTTTCTACGGCAAGGAAGATCCTGCCGTGCAGGGGCGCTCAGCGGGAAAACCGGGCTTCATGCTTAGCTGCGAAGGATGATAAGGATGCTGTAATGATGGTGGACACCCAACAAAGTTCAGCATATCTATCATCTATGATCAGTTGAATCTGAATTCCTGGAAGAAGAAGGATTGCCTTTGCGCAGAAGCCGCATTCTGGATTTGGTTGAACTAATTCAGCACCTGAGAGCACTTGCAGAGCAGAAGGCACCAAGGTCAAGTCATGAAAGGTAGCCCTTTAGGGGATACCTTGAGTTTGTCTTGCGAAGCAAGTGTTGGGACGTCCGGGTCTAATAATTGATCACTCAATTCAAACGCCCCCCCCCTCCCCCCCCCTCGAATTGATTTCTCAATACAGACCCCCCGCCCCGCCCCCTTGGAATTGATTTTTCAATACAGACCCCCCCCCTCTAAATTCAATTCTCTCCTGGAGAACGTCTTCGTGAGCCTCTCATAATTTCAGGATAGTTGAAACCCTCTTGAACATTCAGAAAGAGTGCATATGAAATTCTAATCACGAAAGGTGTTCCCCGAGGGGATACATACCTAGAGTTTGTTTTGTGAAGCACGTCAATTCTCTCCTGGGGAGCGTCTTCGTGAGCCTCTTATGGTTTCAGGATAGTTGAAAACCCTATGATGCTCCGATTCAATGCTCACCGATGATCTGAGCCATGGGGCAAGTTTGTTTTCCTAAGAATATTTTTGAACATTTCGAGAGCATATGTTTGAACATTTAGAGTGCATATGAACATATATTTACGAAAGGTTGCCTCCGAGGGGATAAATCACCATGTCGAACATTGCATTTTTGTTCCTGCCTCTCGCGTTCTTTTCTCTTCCCGCTGTCCTACCTTTCGTGTCTCCCTCCTCTCAAGTTGACGATGTGGGTTGATGTCCTCCATCTTTGGAAAACCTAGGTCTCTCGCACAGGTGAAGCAGTGGCAGTACCTCTCTTCCCACCCAGACGTCTTCAAGGCAGACGGGTGTGGAGAAGTGAATTCATTGGTTCTTTGGGCGGCAAGGGCCGTAAGTTCATGAAGTAATGAGCGGTAGTGAGACATGTCTTGGGCTTGAGTCCACGCAGTTTTTCGGCACACAGAGGGTTACTGAGTGGGTTACTGGGTCAGACTCAAGGATCGCAATTTTTCAGGACTCGAAGGGAAAGGTGATTGGCTCCGACATTTCTTCGTGTTTGCAAGCCCCCCTCGTTCCCCGAGTCACTGTGTCACAGTCTGTCACGGTGTGTCACAGGTCATCCAGATGGATGGTGCTCACATGTGGTTCCAGAACAGCAGCACCATGTCTTTGCCTCAGAACAGCAGTACCATGTCGTGTTATTTTTTTGGACTCCTGATGAATTAACTGAATAAAGCCCCCCCATTATGAAGAGGATGGTCCAATTCAAGTGGATTGGGTTTATGGTTTGTACCTCAGCGAGTCGAGTCTACAGTCTACACCACTGAGGTGCGAAGCCTTGGCCACCGAGCTGGGGAAGCTTCTGCGGAAGTTCTGAAGACGGAGCGATGGAAAAAGCAGGGAGCGATGGACATGGAGCGATGGACATACGTAGATTTATAGGGTTATATGGGGGTTAGTCATGGGGTTCAATCTTTTGTTCATGGAAGCTGGAAAGGGATGTCCTCAATGAAAGGTCTTTTTGTCAGTAAAGGAATTGTGTGCTCATTGATATATTTATTAGATATATCTATATATGGAGAGAGAGAGAGCATGGATCCCGCATGATTGATTGTCTATGCAATGAGCTATATAGCCTAGTTCACTTGATAGAAATACTAGTTTCCAAAACTGCATATGAATGATGGCTAGATCATTTTGCAGAGGCAGACGATGTGGAACGGGGCTGGTATAAGCATGCCAGAGTGAGGAAACCCGTGGTAGGAGGAGGTAGACTATAATGCTGCGGGCAAAACCATTTTGTGCAGTAGAAATACATTGCTAAGACATGCTAAGAATATAGAACACATATAGTTTACATGCGGAGATTGAGGTATAGTATATATATATAGTCATTGAAGAGGGTGGACATGCTTATATGTTAGCCTTCTTAAGGCTCAGGCCAGGTATAAGACTCGACCTGTCTTGTGTTTTGGCACCGTAGGTGGAACTTTGGATCTTGAACACTTGAAAGTTGGTGAATCATGAACAAGAATCTGCTCTCCCAAACAGGGCTCAAGAAAATGATACAAGCATGTGGTCATCAGGAGATGACCTGGTTCAGGATGGTATGGAGTGGAAATGCTTTTAGGTTGGGAGTGTTCGGCTACAGCCCGACCCTCTAAGAGTCAAGTCAATAGCGGAGTTCTCATGTTATACTATACTTGTAGCAGGCTGTCCTTTGCTTCAAAGCTTTATTCACTGACCATCCTGGATCGGGTAATTACCCCAGATTGGATGGGTTTAAACTCCCTGGATCCCCCATGATCCCTCCCATTTCTGGTTGAAATGGCTTCGAAGCTACTGGTGGGGTCCTTTTCTGCACCTGCCCAGAATGACCTCAAACAGCGGAAAGCCCTGGAAGGTGTCCTCAAGATAACCCTATTCCGTACTCCAGGCTCGCTGAATTTCGGAGGTTCCACATGTTTCGACCGGGTTTTACCCCACAAGTTTGCAACCACTTCAACAGGAAAGCACCTGTCATGAGTTATTTGAGGGTGCTCAGTTCTTGGACACACCCGCGCGACGCAGTAACCCGGTGCTTCAGGTGCTAAAAACTCATCCCTTCTTTGTCCATGACCTCCCTGCCAGATCCGGAAGGCAAAGGCATTTCCGATTGGCGAAAGTGGTTTAGCGGGAGGTTCGGCATCGAGGCTGAATTTGAAGTTCAGGAAAGTGGGGCAGAGAGTCGCGAAGCCACCCGGCTCACCGGGGCAGCTGAAGTGGGAGGCCACTCTTACCAATGTAGAGTCACCAATGTCCCTAACATTGTTGTGTTGTCGGCGTTTATTTCGAAATATTTTGATTATTTTGAATTTTGAATTGTATTATTCTTTAAAAAATTAGGTTTATTATGTAATTTTGAATTTGAATTATGTTATATTAGAGAAGATTTTAATATTGTTAATATTTTTGAAATTTATATATATATTTTTTCTATTTAAATGTGCTTATATAAGCGCTATCTTAATTTTAAATTCGGCAGCTATTTCCGTACCTCTCCGTGCACATATCTTTACCTCTTTATTGATGAATTAATTGTTTCTGGAATTCATCGATGAAGATTTATTGATCGCAATTTATTTTGATTCTGATTTTTGGTCTATTGAAATATTTGATTTTAAATTTAGGGGGCATGATACGAACAAGTTTAACTATAAATGTTGGAATTTCCATGCTTGACGCGAGGGTTCTGAGACCTCGCTCGGTGGTGAGAATGTCGTTGTTAAGCCGTCTAATCTCCGGCTAGGCACAAAAATCCAGGAGGTATGGGCGATATTAGGCCACGGCCTAATTGGGATTTATCTAGATACAAAAGAATAAAGAGGAGCTTTTATTGAGCCTTTAAGTACGGTTGTCTACAATAGCTGGAAAGGATTTTTGGTATTCCAACATACCTTTTAGGATCCGTTAATAATTGTTTTACGAAGCTAATATATTAGCTATGAAGGTAAAATCCACGATTCCACCGACAAGGACCATATATTCCTTGAACGCGTTCTGTTGGAACGCCTCTAACGGGCTTCTGTTGGACGAATGGATGCCTTGGCTCATTTAGACTTCGTATAATATGATTATCCTGAAAGAAATTGGGTGATCATCCTGCAAGAAATTGGATGACGTATCAATAATCAATGGGTGTCTGGTGATTGGTATATGCTGCATTCCCATGGTCATCGAGCCATTGTCCTTTAGCTGGCCTGGAGTGAATTATATCTAGGCAGGCTCATATATGTTCGATTGCATTTAATCTATATCTAGGATATCATTTGTGTTTATTAGCACTCCTGGAGTTATTTGAAAGATCTTTAAACCCTTCTTTATGATAGACTTCAGG